GGTGTGTGTGTGTGTGTGTGTGTGTGTGTGTGTGTATTGTCGCGGGAATAATAATTATTATTGTTTTTCTTATAGAACCCATCTCATTGTTCCGTATCTTAAACTAACCCATCTCATTGTTCCGAATCTTAAAGTAACACATCTCATTGTTCCGTATCTAAAACTAACCCATCTCAACCTCTCCCCCCCCCCCACCCCGTCCCCAGCGAGCAGCGTGAGCGACATCTGCCGGCACGAGCAGCTCACCTCTCAGAGCGGCTACATCATGACGCCCAACTTCCCGTCCAACTTCCACCACCAGGGCCGCTGCACCACCACGGTGCTCGCCCATCCCTCCCAGACCCTCCGCTTGCACATCATCGACATGGACCTCCAGGACAGCTCCAGCGCCGACTGCGCCGACCTGCTCTACTTCAACGACAAGCTCCGCAGCATCACGCTGTGCGGCCAGCGCAACAACAACAGCTACAACATGCACTCCAACTACCTCCACATCGAGCTGCAGTCCACGAGCAACGGACGGAGCAAAGGCTTCTGGCTCTACTACGAGGGTGAGTGACCAGTGCTTCTGGCACGCCCACTGCACGACGCATACTTTATAACTGAGTTGGCCTTTGTAATACATTGTATACTAATAGTGTGGGCTTCGATAATACTTTTTTTTTAAAACATCAGAGGCCAAAACTCCATTTTTTTTATTTTTGTTGTTGTTTTTCAGTAAGCGTTTTCTTTGTTATTAAAGATGGAGATAGGACAAGAAAGCACCGAGGTCGTGAAAATTTGAAATCAATCTTAATGTTGCTATGCTAAACTAACGAGACCACACTTCTTAAAGTATTACCGTATCTTATCTTCTGCCCTGTGTGTCTGCAGCCTTCCCGCCACTGCCCACGTCACTTCTGCCACCTGATGTCAAGGAGGAAGGCCCAGCAGACGACCAGGAGGGCGGGAAATCCCCGGTGGACGGGATGCAGGGAGACGCCAGCGACGGTCAGCACCCGGAGTCGGAGACCACACAGAGGCCGTACAAACACCCCAAGAGTACTGTACCCTTGTACCGCAGCTCTGGACACAAGAGCAAGCCGCTTCCTTTTGGTGAGTAGCTGGACAGATAGACAGACAGATAGACAGACAGATAGACAGACAGACAGACAGACAGACAGACAGACAGACAGACAGACAGACAGACAGAGTTGGCCCCCCAAAAATCCCAAACTTTTTAACAACATCTACCGTCTCTATTTCAAAGCCAGTGGAAAGAGTTGGAAGTAAGTTTCTGGATCTCAGATCGCACAATCATTGACATCAACCCGGACACCTACAATGTACCCTGCATTTTGGTTTATCAAATTGTGTTCATTATTTTACCAGCACTTTATTCCTTTATGTCCCACCAAATATTATAATTCAATTCTGAATAAATTCCATAAAAAGAATGCTTTATTACTTTGCAAATCATGCAAGTGAAATATGTATACTCTACACACACGCTCGCTAAAGAAAAGAAAACATTGTATTTTAAATTTCTACTTTTTTTTTCATCCACAGCGGCCATCGCCGGCGGAGTCATCGGAACGTTGAGCCTGGTGCTTATTGTGTTGTTGTTGCTGCTTCTCATCAAGTGGTGAGTGCTCACGTCATTTCACTTAGACGGTCTGTTTCATTATAACATGGCCTCACAAGCTAATAATTATTAAATTTATCTCACAAGAACAACAAAAGCACCCACACTATCAATTCCATCTTGTTATTTGGAAAGAGAAGTACATCGACCCATGAGATATTAAAGTTTAGTGCCAAAGTGTGTAAACTGGACATAGGAATAATATATACAAACGTGTCATCAGTTCATAATGTCTGGAGTTGGAACCAAAATAACTCAGCCAAGCAGAATGGCAAGAGTCAGTATTTAACAATAACGTCCAGCAACAGGAAAAAGCCAAGAACCAAAAGTGTAGGAGACGTTTTTCTATGTTCATGGTTTGAGTAGGATTGATGGACGCATAAAACAGAGACTTAGGCCATGATAAAGACAAGCATGTGGAAAATTTAATGGATTACATTACCTAACTACATTGCATCATGTCTTTACATTTGTAGTGCCATTATTTACGTTCTTTTTTCTTCTTATTCTCGTCTTGAAGGTACCGCGAGCGACGCTACAACAAGGTGGAGAAGGTTCTGGAGATCAGGAACCCCGCCTTCCGCAGCAGCACGGACTTCCACGAGGCTCACACACAGCACCAGCAGGCCTCATTGCCCAACAACAACAGCGGATACTACTGCTGAGTGGCGGCTACTAGAAGTACTGCTGAGCGGCTACTACTGTTGAGAGGCTACTGTTCAGCGGTTACTGCCAAGTGGCTCAGTTGAGTGGCTACAGATAGACAACTTCTGTTCAGCGACTCATGTTGAGCAGTTTCTGTTGAGCGGTTACAGTAAAACAGCTGCTGTCAAGCGGCATCTGTTAAGCAGCTTCTGTTGAACAGCTACTGTTGTGAGGCTTCTGCAGTCTGCACTTTGTCCTCGGCGATAATCGCTCGCACTGGCGACGAGAGTCCAGATCTCCTGGTGACTTCTGCGATATGAAATGACACACATCGGTGCTGGATGGAGACGAGATGGGCGAGATTTCTGTGCCAGGATAGTTAAGTGATGCCTCGTGGGGACACCAGCAGCGTTGTTTGTTATGAAAATGCTGGCAGCGTGATGACTTCGGGAGGAATGGACACGCACTTATGAGGAGTTTAGCTCACAGAGACACGATACTGACGTGACTGTAGCTGACAGGAGTCAGTAAAGATTGTCCAGAACTGTGTGAGTACTGTGAGGGAGTATGGTACAACAGGGAGTAACAGGCATAACGAAAACAAGTGTAGCAAGACGTTTTTCAGAGCAGTTGTTGTTGTTGTTGTTGTTGTTGTTGTGTGTTGTTTTTACTGTACGACACAAGCTCTACTACGCCGAGAAAAGTAGTTTCTTCTGAGAGACCAACGTCGCACTCGACGTGTGTTTTAATTGGCTGTGTGTGGTTGTTATAATTCCACGACTGTGTTGGAAAAGACGTGTCACACAGCACAATGAAAACGTTCCCTGTGCATTATTGTCAACCGGACATTCATCGCTACGCAATGCCATGACTGTTCTGACACAGAGGCAGACACTGCTCACTGGGATTCACTTCGGAACTCCTCTAGTGACGTCATTTTATGTCAAACCAACGAAAGACACGGACAAACAGATTCCGATTGCGGGATATTCGACTGGTGTTTTGCCTGCACAAATAGAGCACTGAGAAACGACTTTCATATGAAGTGACTTCTTAAGGAAGAAAGTACACAAGATGCCAACCACAACTTACTGTTGTACGCTCGGCGGTGATGTGGCGTTGTTCGCATACAGAGTCCGGCTCTTCATAAATCTTTGGGACGGTCAACCAGTGACTGTTTGATTCATATATAATCCATCAACATAGATCTCAAACCCAGAATCTTGGTCATTGTGTGGACCTTTCACAACCAATCTCACTGTGTTGTTAGTGCTAGATGTTAGTAAGTAACCCTTCAGAAGGAGACTGGAGTAAGTAGAAGTAACAGATGTAGACCTATTTAACGAAGGATCGTGACTGCTAGAGCTAGAGGTTTGTTCCCCGCTCCCCTGTTTCACACGCTAATGTTATATTATTCTTATTATACTTCTCTTAACGGTGCTGTTGTATTTGTTGTTACTCATCACATGATCTGTCCACTGCAATAACCTCGTCTCAACCCTTACATGTCGGGCTTTGTTCCAACATGACTAACTTGTTCATTCTACTGACGCACCTATATATATAATAAATATTCTAGAACTTATGTGGCAAAGCACACGGATACATATACATGTATATGTGACTATTTTAAGAAGAAATAATTCATGCGACAAAGCGCATATGTATACATGTATGAACATCAGCAATGCATAAAACGTCATATATAATATGTGCATTTTTTGGGGTGGTCGCAGCCGTGTTGTTATTGAAGTTACTGGCGTCTTCGTAAGTGGTCCATTGCTAGTATGATAGAGTCATTTTTGCTTCTGAAACCTTTTTTCCTTTTCCCGTGAAACGCACACACAGAGGAATATTTATTGATTTCGTGAAATCAAACGCCCCCCCCCCCCTTTTCATGAGTAACATATTTCTCTCTTTTAACACAGAAATAGTCTACATTAATAGTGTGCTTGTCGTTGTTTTGATTTCTATAAAAGTTCACTTTGGGTTTGTTATATTTGTTTAATTTTTTCGCTTTTGGAGACCCACGCCGTTATTATAATTGATGTGAAAAGCGTCTTGTGGTCAGTCAAAGAGACCACAGTGTAATGTCTACTTACCACTTAATAGTACAACACCCGAGCTTCCAGGAGTAACGGAGCTACACGGCAGCCTGTCAACATTCCCTCGACAAACACCCACTCGCTCCCAACACACACTCGCTCCCAACACACACTCGCTCCAAACACACACTCGCTCCAAACACACACTCGCTCCCAACACTAAGCTTTCAAAACGATTTAAAACATCAACAAATAACCTTAATAAAAGAATTCCCGGCTTAGCGAAAACACAGACACACATATACATGCACACACACACACACACACACACACACACACACACACACACACACACACACACACACACACACACACAGACCGAAAAAACCAGTTAAGCTATTCAAGAAGCAGGACCAGCAATTAAACAGCAATCTGTGATAAGACTGCCATAATAATAATAGTATGGTAAAAATATTTTTTCCTGTAATGCTATAGGAGAAAGGGAAGTGTTGATAAAATATCCCGCTGTTGGTCAATGTGAACCAGAATAAGTACACAATGGGAGTCTGGAAAAACGTATTGATCAGTTTCATTTTTGAAGGAAATCCGCCCTAGATTGACTTTCCCTGAGTGGCAGGAAATCAATTCAATCCGCTAAAGCTCTTTTGTTGGGTGTTTGCGTCTACCAAACATCGCTGAGGGGACCTCACGACCTACTGTTGCGGGTGTTTCAATAAGTAAAACTACGCCAGAGTGAAAATTTCATTATTCTTAGTCGGATTTAAAGAACTAAAATGATAATAAGTGTTTTCAGAACCATAGGGCTCTATCTGGGTTACTGTTATGTTGGAGATAGATTTTTGAAAATAGGAATAGAAACCTTTAAGTTATAGGAAGGTGAGTATTTTCGTACTGAACCTGTGACGTATAGTGTGCACGCAGTTTTTTTCTTTTTAAAAATATTTTAAAAAAATTTCCATATGCACTCTTTAACGCGTTTTATATATTTGTATTTTTTGCTACGGTCGTAATTTCATGATCTGAAAAGATCAGTGTCATGCATGTATTTCGGTTCCAAATGCAGTAACGCCTGTTTTGAACATTTCGCGATCAACTTGATTTCTCCGATTTCTTTTTAAAAAATCGTGGAAATCGTGATTTCAAGCAAAGGCGAAAATAACCAGTAATAAAGTAAAACACTTCATCATCGGCATGCTCTTCCAAATTTCCGGGTGAAAGAAATAAAAAAGAACTGCTTTATTCTTTCAAAAATAGTACCAGCATTATGTAAATTATGTTCTTGAATTTTGTCAGTATTTAGAATTTGGAGTTTGAAAAAAAAAATCACGAGAAATTGATACTAATACCATAGACTAAAAACATCGATAATTTGGTTCCATAGTTTGGAAGAGGGTACGTTAATTTTGAAGAGCAGGCCGACTGGTTAGTGTATAAAACAGATTGATTATTATGTTTGCAGAAGGCAGATCACTGTGAAAGACGTCATTCATTTGAATCATGTGATTAGTAAGATTTTTTCAACCATCGTTTTATGAGTTCTTTATAAGTTTTCCTTTTAAATACGCACTTTTTTACCAGCATCGACGCAATTATGGCATTAAGAAGGCGGAATTTGAGCTCGCCTGTAAGGTCAAAATCGGGCTTTCAACTAATACAGGGTGCCCATTTGGGGGATCGGGTCGGGTCGGTTTGTTAGCTAGATTGAGGGGGGAAAGCGG